GGACTCGCTTCCTCGGTTCTAGGAATTGAGATCACTTGACAAGACTCTCCTGCGTGGTATTTCCCTTTATTCTCCCCCAGCTGATGCTGGTGGTTTGATCGCGAGCGACTCCCTTCTTATCCATCCATGGTCCCGCCCGCCGTACCTTACTCCCCTCACAATATCACCCCCGAAACTCAAAACACAGCAAGACTTGGATAGAACTCTGAGTTGCTAACTCCCCGCTCATGTCGACGGCATCTACTCATTCCCGAGGCGTTAACCGACGGATTAACAGCATTCAGAATGAATCCCGCCATTCGCGCAGTCTCTCAGGATCCCGTAGGCGCCCCGTCAACTCCTCGACCGCCTACAACTATGCTCTCCGGGTAGCCTACCTCGCCCATCTCCTGCAGCCTCGCTCGCGTCGTGTACAGAATGTACCGGTCCCTCAGAAACCCAAGAGGGCCTCCACCTCGTTTCATGATCTGATGAGCGATTTCTCCCTGGTGCGGGACTCAAAAAGCACTCGCATCCCCCATGGGTTCATCGCGGAGCTGGAGAAGAGGCTGACAGGTGTCCTGATCGGGAAAGAGAAGCGGAAGGAATATCAAGATACGCTGGTCGTGAGGACATTCGCTGCATTTCTCAATACTTTGAAGGACCAATCGTTCAAAAAGCGCATGGAGAAGGACCGGCGGGCGGAAGACCTCGTTCTCATCTTCTACTCCAATGCCACCAAGGAACTGAGCAAAGGAAAAGATCCCGAAGATGACCACTGGAAGCTTATGGTAGACAGACACGTGGCGCTTTTCGTTCGCTTGTTTGCGCTTATCCTGAAGGATCACGACTGGGCTAAGGAGCGACCTGAACTGGCAAATCGGTTGTCGGTCTTGGAAAACAAATTACTCTCCCAGGATCAAGATCTTGTGCAGACCAACGGCTCTACTACTGTGGAAGTTGTTGCTCCCATAAGTCACGATGTCAAGGACATGCCACTTGTGCAGCATGTGTCAAAGATTTTTGACGTGAACTTGAGCCAGGTTCAGGCAGACATAGATAAGAATAAAGGGACCTGGACCGGGAAGGCGGCCCTTCAAGACCTGAAAGCCTACCAGGCTCACCTAAACCTCAAGACTCGGAAAACATTGTCTCAGGAAGACTTCGAGAACGAGGATGCGTATGAACTCTGGAAGAAGAATGAAGGTCCTGATCTGTCTCAGATGATGCTTGCCATTGTGCAGTCGAACCCGGAACTCGCCAAAAGCACCCCGGGGGGTGCGCTTCCACAATTTAACCCAAATGGTAGTGACCAGGATCCGGCGGGGGAACTGTCTAGGACGAACTCCGATAGGCCATCGTCGTATGTCATAGATCAGTCGCTGGATCTCAGCTCTCTATCTTTAGGTGAAGACGGCGGCGAGCCTTCGGATGAGTCCGATACGTATACATACATACCTCAGGATCCCCGATCTATGTACAAGTTTATATTAGCTCAGACCCTGAGCCATGACCTGAAAGACCGCGATATTGAGGCAACACAGGCGACATCCGAGGTCCCTTCAATGAAGCTATTTTCCAAACAGTCGTCGGAATTCCTTAACGAGGTCTGTCTTCGGTGGCGGATCCCAAATTTCTCCAGGATAGTTTTGTTTCTGGATGTTGTCCGGTCCAAATTTGTGGATAACGAAATTGATCTCAATACACTCGATTCGGCTTTCACTTTCGTGAAAGAATCCCCTTCTGCGGAGGGCAGGAGGCGCAGTAGCTTTATCGCTTCTGTTCTTTATGAGAGGCACAGGTGGACAATCCATGACCTTCTTCTGATGCAGCAGATACTTTCCTCTCTTCACGAAGCTCTTCTGCGTGAATTGTATGATGTGATGATGGATTGCTATGAAGGAAAACCTCGGCCCATCGGTCCGGTGATGTACGTACTGGAGAACCATATTGAAATGGATCCCAACTACACCGAAGATTTGGAGGACATCGAGCGTTTCCGCTCATACGTGCAGGATGGGCTCGCACAGAAAGCAACCGAGAAGTATCAAGAGCTTCTGGGGCAGCTGATCCCAGTCCAGCCGGAATCCTGGGAGCTCGACCATGTTATCCAGCTCTGCGATGCCATCACTAAACTTGCGCAGAAGATCAAAAAGCGTTACCGGAAGAATCCAGAGATTATGGGGTAAGCACACCTCCAAACCAGGCACGCATTATTCTGCTTGCTCACTGAATCCTAGGGTCAACCCGTATCTGATATTGCTTTCTAACGTCCTCCCGATATTCTCCGAGGATGCCCACGAGATGGTGGTCAGAATCATCGAAATGGAGAATGTGAGAGGTGAGGAAACCAACATTGAAGATGGTTTCGATCTGTATAAGCAGCTAGCGGACGTGCGTCGTCTTTTCACGGAGGCCCTTCCTGAGTAAGTACTCTCTACCAGTACCATTCTGCATCGCATCGATGCTAACTGCGTGTGCAGTGTCCCCTTTCCGTTCCACATTGAAGGCCTAATGGAGGAGTTCGTCTGGCGCTGGATTCGCTTAACCGATAAGAAGGTTGCAGACTGGGTCGAACAGGCAGTCAGACAAGACGCTTTTGCCGTTCGAGACGACGGAACGATGGAAGTGGTTCCGGAGGAGAATCGTCACAGTGTGTCTGTGATTGACATCTTCCGCTCCTTTAACCAGGTCGTAGAGCAGATGATCTCCCTTGAGTGGGACGATGATTTCCAGTACGCCAAGTTCATGACGGCCCTGTCCAGGTCTATTGGGAGCGGAGTGGCAAAATATTGTGAATCCTTGGAGCAGATGTTCGCTAAGGAGATGGATCGGCTTTCGCCCGATCAGGAGGCGGCTATGAACCAAACCGCTCAAGAAAGGATAATGCAGTTGGCCAAGGAGGCATGGACGAGCAAAGAAAAGATCGAACCCTTTCAGTTCTTTCCCGAGGTACGTTCGTTCATTGAGGCGTGATGTCTACCTGGCTAATGAGGAATTGCAGTCTCTGGTCAAGCTGAATAACGTCGAATATGCCCTGTCGCAGCTCGACAAGCTGGAAAACGAGGTCAACGTGGATGGCTGTGCAGAGGTTATCGCAAGACATGCTCAGCCTCAACTCCAGAAGATTCGCAAGTCTACCACATATGTTTTCACCGTTAAGGTGGTCGAAGCGGAAGATTTGAAGGCGTGCGACATGAACGGAGGAAGTGATCCCTACGTCGTGCTGGCCGACGAGTATCAGAAACGTATAGCCAAGACCCGCATCATCTATAACAATCTCAATCCACGATGGGATGATGCTGTTGACATCACCACGCAAGGCCCGGTCAACATTATCGCCACCATTTGGGATTGGGATGCAGTCGGAGACCATGACTATGTGGGTCGGACTTCTATCAAGCTCGATCCGGTCCACTTCAGCGACTTCCTACCAAGGGAGTATTGGCTTGACTTGGATACGCAAGGCCGGCTGCTACTTCGCGTGAGCATGGAGGGAGAACGCGACGATATCCAGTTCTACTTTGGCAAAGCGTTCCGGACTTTGAAGCGGACGGAAAGGGACATGACCCGCAAGATCACAGAAAAGGTAAGATAGCAGAGCCGCCGGAGTACCTCTAAAGCTGTTGCTAACGTCGAATCTGCAGCTTTCCGCATACATTAGTCACTGTCTATCGCGTCGGACGCTGAAATCATTGCTGTCGCGCGGACTCAGTATTTCAAGCGTATCTAACTTCCTAAACCGCAATCGAGCGCAATCCACCACCGCCACCCCGTCGAACGCCGACGTGGAAAATGCGCTGACTCCCCTCTTTGACTACTTCAACGATAACTTTGCTATTATGAACAAGACTCTCACGTCGGAAGCCATGAAGATGGTCATGGCACGTTTATGGAAAGAAGTGCTGGCTACAATCGAGAGCTTGCTTGTTCCTCCATTGTCCGACAAGCCCTCTCACCAGAAGCCTCTCACCATGCAAGAGGTGGATGTTGTCTCACGCTGGCTCGTGCTTCTTCTTAACTTCTTCCACGCCATTGACGAAGAAACGGGTGAAGCCAACGGCGTTTCCATCGATATCTTGAAATCACCCAAATACCACGAGATCCAGACCTTGAACTTCTTCTATTTCGAGCCTACTGAACAACTGATCCGCACCTCTGAGCGGATGGCCTCTGCGACGATCTCTCGTCAGCAGGCCAACAAGAACCGGACCTCGGCGCCACCACATCTGGGTGCCGCAGGGTCTAGCAGCATGTTGGGTGTCCCCAGCGCACGTCGTGCCAAGAGTATCATGCTCTCGCGCAACCTCGGCACGATGAAGAAGATGAAGGAGGAGAAATGGCGCGAGGCGCAAGCCGAGCCGAATGACGATATGATCCTGCGAATCTTGCGGATGCGTCCCGAAGCTGCGGGCTATCTACGTGATCGCAGCAGGCAAAAGGAGCGACTGGCAGCTGCCGCAGCTGCAGATGCCATTGTGAAGCAGAGTCTAATGGCAGGGGCTGGGGGAAGGATGACGGGGACGCTGGGGCGGCGATGAAGGTAGTACGACCAACATTCGCGGCGTTCTTCTATGTACTTGTTGACCATTATTTTTTTATTTTTTTTCACACCTTTGCGATTCAGCATGACGCGGCATTGTTTGGCCTTGTTTTTTTCTCTTGCTTCTCTTTTTCTTTACTCTTTGATATGGACGTGATGATTCCCAAATCTAGTTTGTTTGCACTTTAGGGAGCGTTGAGCCTACGGGTTGATCGTTAATTGGGAAGTTGCGTGGTCTTACAATAGCCTAATCGTTTAATTCAGCAGCTATGACCGATTCATGACATCGTAGGCCAGAATTGGAATAGAAAGAGATCTTATCGACAATTTGTCCATGGTAAGCAGGTAGATGATCCCGGGTCCGGCAAGTCACCCGAAGTAAGTAGCCATACATTCAGCCACCCATACGTTCTTGAATATTATGAATTCAATCTCATTCATATAAACTCACTCAGCTATATATAAAAGGAACCCGGCTCTAAGCAAGAGCAATGCACTCAATCTCAACAGGCACATTCTTAGGCAGCTGCTTAACAGCAAAGCAAGAGCGAGCCGGCTTGTGAGCAAAGAACTTGGCGTATTCCTTGTTCATCTCATCGAAGTCGGCCATATCAGCGAGGAGGACCTATACCGATACATCCCAAATCATTAGCCCCAGCCCAGTTACTCCTCACCCACGATCCCCATCCACTCCCTCCATTCGTTCCACCATAGAAATAAATGCGGAGGTACGAAGAAAGAAAAGAAATAACTAAAGAAAGGGTATATAATACGCACCGTAACCTTGAAGATCTTCTCCACGCTAGAGCCAGCCGCCTCGACAACGGCCTTGATGTTCTCGCAGCAGAGACGGGTCTTCTCGGTGACGGACCCCTCAATCAGGACGCCGTCCTTGGTGAGGGGGATTTGACCGGAGAGGAAGATCTGGCCGTTGACCTTGATGGCTTGGGACTTTTTGATAAGGTTAGTGTTTGGTTATTGTTATTGCTGTTGTGGTGGTGGTATTGGTGGTTGGTGGGGGAAGGGGGGAGGGGGGAGGGGAAGAAGGTATGGCGGCGGGGTTTGGATTTCTCTTACGTAGGGGCCGACGGCTATAGTTGGGTTCAATTGCTGTTAGCTTGAATTCTCTTTGAGGATGGTTATGGTGGGGGGTTATTTCTTGAGAAGTGTCCTTTTTTGGAATGAGAGCACCAGAGGTATGGAAGGGGAAGTGAATGCCACTGCGTCTTGAGGCAATGGCATGTAGTGGGGGGAGAGGGGGAAGCACTTACGCTGGGCGGCGCCAGCAGTGTGGACGATGTCAAGACCGGTGGACATGGTGACGAATTGGTATGGAATGCGAGATGGGAGACGAGAGATGAGGAGGGAAGAGTGAAGAGGGGAGGAGATGAGACGAGAGGAAGTACTGAGACGGGAGAAAAGAACTCGAGAGGTAGCGGAGAACATGAGGGGAAGAGATGGGAAATGGAGAGATGCTAATTGAAGGTTCCCAGATGTTTCCGCGGAAAAGTCACCAATCCAGGCCCGCCCCGCCCGACATCGGTGGAGCTATGGCCGGTGAACTCTCGGATTCATCTACGTATATCTATGTATCTATCTACGTATTCAGGTGGAGCTGTACAATGAAATATTATTATCAGGCTAGTATTGACTTAGGAGGATGAACAGAATGGCAGCGCGGTAATCATAGTCCAAGGATGGAGGGTATGGTTGGTCATGAGCAGGGGGGAGTCATAGCATCGTGATACAGTATACAAGCAACAGGGGGGGATATCAATGCAAATGTGTATGCCAGAAACAATCAAATCGTGTCATCCAGTCAGCCAACTTCTAGGCTAGTCCCTTCGCCCCCAGGTTGGTCAACTGCTGCATGAACGCAGCTGTCTGCTCTGCGGAAAACCCAAAGAAGACAGGCCCGTTGAACACAATGTTGGCTGCTGGTTTATTCGACGGACTGGGGGGATCACCAGGTAGTTTGCCATTCTTCTTCTCGGCAGGTTCGTCTGCCTTACCCACTTTAACAGGCGTGGGATTGGTTTCCATCTTGGCTGATGGTTTGTCACCGGAGGGCGCACCATGTCCGAAGGGACACCGACCCTTCTTGGGCGCGTTAGCGGGAGGAGCCGGAGCCGTGTTACCAGGCGGCGGCATCGAGGGCAGGCCTGCAGGCGCGGCATTGGGAAGCTTGCTGGTTACCGCATCAATTGAGGTTGCAACCGGTGCAGGCGGAGGGGATTGAGGGGGTGATACGGTTGGAGGTAGAGGCGACACCGGAACAGGGATCCCCCAGGGCCGGCTTGGGGATTCGCCGACACGGACTTCACGCAAGGGACGGTCGAAATGGCCCTTTCTCTCTTCATCCTCTTGTTCGGCCGCCGCCTCTTCCTCCTGCTCTTCTTTGATGGGAGGATGCATGTCCGACTTCATGTCAACTTCCTGTGCCCATTTCTCCACCCTTTCGGCGGACGAGCTAGAGGGTGCCGTGCCATTTTGACTCGGCTCTGGTAGGAATGCTTTATGTTTGGCAGACAAGCCTTGGATCATATTGATAAGGCTACCGTACTTTGCATCCAGCTGCCGCATGGTCTGCCCGTCCCGCTGGTACCGTTGAACACAGATAGCATGGCTTCTAGGGATCTCATGCTTGTGCCTCTCAACATAGTCGGCAATCTCCTCCGGACTATGTTGGTCTAGATACCTTATGGGACAGCGAGAAACCGGGCAGCGAGTGGCCGAGGACCGCGTCGAAGGAGCCCGACTCGAGCGTCTATCACTCTGCTCGGCCTTGATGGGGTCTAGATCGGCATGTCCGCACGCATCCCCGTTCTGGTCCTTTAATGGACTGTGCGTCCCATTGGACACCCCATTTTCAGAGGTCTTATTGTTATGCTTCGCAAAAGGACAACGCAAACTTCCCTGCGTGCCCTTGGTAGTGAAGTCTTTTTCTAGGGGAGCAGGCACTCCGGCTCTCGTCGCCACAAGACAGGAGTCGAACTCCGAGAGCTGCCTGGACTCATGTGGTGGTATGATAGATTGGTAACATGTCAGCCCTTCCGTTATAGCGGTCAGGGCAAGATCTCCTACGTTTCCAGACTCGGCCAGCGCCTTTACTACGTCCGGAGGTTTTATGTTTGGTTTGGGATTGTGATCGTATTCGGCATAACGACCGAGCATCTTATCCGCGACGACTTTCGTATGACCGTCGACTCCACCGGGGAGCTTTCCTGCAAGTTTCAGATACTGATAGCACATTAGCATATGCATTCAAATATATACATGCGTAAAACAGTGCAAATGTGTCAAGTCTCATCAGATAATACATGACTTATCCGTCACCGCCGCAGATGCGACTCCTGATCTAGAGCTAATCGATTTTTCTCGTCCTTTGAGACAGCAAGGTAGGTGGGGAGGGGATGAAAACTGGATGAATGGGATATTTACCTCGTCGGAGGCATATTTCAGCCTTTGCTGCAAGCTCTTCTCCCTGCAGCTGAGTTGTTGGGTGGTGAGCAACAGAGCTTCGAAAGCTCTGGCCAGGGTTTCCAGCCGCTGGTCTTGCTGCATTTCTGCAGCGATGGGTGCAGGAGACATCATGAGTCAAGGTTAGGTGTTACAGTGTGACAGATATCTGTACATCAGATGAACTGGCAGGGCACTTCTGCACTGAGCAGAAGTGCGCAATGAGAACATCAAAGGGCGAGTGAGCCAGAGGAGCAAAATAGCCTTAAGCCGAAATAAATAGGCGGAAAGCTAAGCGAGTTGGCCCGTGCTTTGCCACGTGATGTGTGCTGTTTTGGGAATAACCCAGAGATACCTCCGTTATCTGTACGCCGTAGTGGCGGTTGATGCTGCAATGAATTTGAATGACTTGTCTGTGAGGATGTCGAGGGGCGAGGCTGTAGTTGATAGCTGCGAGTAATTTAGAATAACATAAGGTTGGGCAGATCAAGTACGGAAGAAATAGTGTGCTGGTGGTGTGACATCAGGCATGCATTTGGCGGGTCTCGCTCGCGGGCTGGCCCGATTGCAGGCATTGTCGGATGCAACTCGCTGTTTGTTCCGGTATCAATGGCATTAGTCTTTGGCGATTATGAAGTTACTGTCAATTGGCTGGGAAATCTACTAAGAGTTGGCCGCTGCTATCCGGTGCTTCAGTTGTGACATGCTCGTGAGTCGTGTGGCAATTGTAGTCTTGTTGGCTTTCATCTACTTTGGCTTGCATTCCTACTCAGTAAATCGCGAACGTGCGCTGGGTCTGCAGTTTGCACCAGGGACCGGGTGGTAAATCATTGCCAGGCCATCATACTTGAGGCAGGGTGCGGTAGAGCGTGTTGATGAACTGGCCTGTTGCCGCTATACTACTTACTGGGGTACTACGATATATATCGTCATCCAAGAAGACCTTCATATCCCATGGTTGTGGCCTAGGAGTACCATGTGCATTGTTTTTTCTTGATTCAGTGTATTCATAGGAGCTAGGAGCCCCGTTTCGACGAATTTGGAGTAGCGAAAGAGGGCTGCTTAGGCATTGCGGTATCGACATTGAATTCGTTGGCAGGGAGTACATTGATGCGAGGATGCTTCATATTGTTTTCCAAAGAATATAGAGCCATACTGTGCGGCGGCATTCAACGAGCATAGCCCGGCTAGCTCAATCGGTAGAGCGTGAGACTCTTAATCTCAAGGCTGCGGGTTCGAGCCCCGCGTTGGGCTTTCCTTTTTGTTATTAAATTTTCAATTTTTCATACCCACCACACCTTCTTTCTCCCTCTCCACATCTTGATGCTCCTGTATCAGCTATCAGCAAACACCGGCAGGTTCCACACACCCACCACTGCCTTGACAGGTTCGAGATTTATGCATGACTATTGGCCATATATCTCTCACTACCCTTACCCCCCCTACAGTACTACTTTAGACCTCGGCCTGAAGCGCCCAGTGCCACACATCGGTGATGCGGTGGGATGTCCTCATCGGGAATTCCGCACACCCTCGTCCCTACAGCTCTTCATGTTATCCAATATGCAGCATGTACTCCGCTGCGCTCTGGCGCAACGCACATGAGGATGCGCGAAACGCGACGATCTCGCCGTAGGGTGCAATTCTGGACCGCCTGTTGCGGCCCGGACTGGTCAGGAAACCCCGACCACAAGACGGCCAGCTATCCGTGCGTACATGGCGTGTCTGCGCCATGCATTAGTAGCATGCATAATGCTGCCGCACCTTTGACTGCAGAGTACCTACCCGCCGTCCACCTACGTAAATGACTGCCTCTCACGTAGCTCCCGGGAAGGAGGGCGTAAAATAGGTGTACCATCCGGGGTCCCGGTACATATTCCTGGATCACAACAGTACGACTACTGTATTATTGTCATACCACAGAAGCCTTCCAGAAGTTCTAGAAGACACACGTAGAGGAACGATGCTTTTGCGCCGCGGGGTGGGAAAAGAGACAGACCATGGGGCACGAGGCCATCCAGGACCAATATCGACGCAGCGATTGCACAGCACACATCACCAGAAGTTCCGGACTTCCTCGGATATGCGATTGGGATAAGCCTGGTGGAGTCCAATTGATGGTACCTGGATTGGCAAAGGAACGTGGGCGTTGGGTCGTATCGGTCGTCGAGACGGGTCGGGGTGCCGTGTGAGCGCATAATTAGCTTCAATTTGACCTCATAATTTGTTTATCGGTTGAGACCAATCGCCGAGCTATCTTAGTTGCCTATGGTGGATACACTAGCTTGCATATACTCCGAACATGAAGTAGGTATGGCGAAGCCTCTGCCCACGCCTTCCAAGTTAACGCGACGAAATATCAGGGACAGGTCCGGCCGTCAATTGCATCTCCTCCGCGGAACGGGCCAGTGACAGCAGCCTTGTCGCCTACCAAGAGACACCGATTTATACGGCAGCCACGGAATTTAGTTGCAATAATATCAGAGGCAGCTCATCGGCATGGAACTAATTCGAATCTGTTGGGCGAAGCATTAAAGCGTGTGCTGAGATGCCGTTATAACCGCTGCACTTCGGAAAATGGAACCTCAATAGATATCGGTTTAGGTAACTCCCAAACCCTGGGCCATAGGGCGCTGTGAGCTAATGAAGACTAGTATACCACCGGGGTGATACGCCGGAAACACCGCAACATTCAGCCAGCCTGCAAGCAACAGGCTCCTCGAACTCGAGCCTCTTTAGTATCTCTCGCCTACCAAACAGGAAACCTGTACACCTAGCTAGGACAATGTTGAATGGGACCTCAGCGTGCGTAGGCAGACGCGGCTGGCATGGAGTACCTATTCCAACAATAAAGAGCGATTCCGTAGCAGGCTAATTGTCAGCCACCAGGGCTTCGTCACTAAGACAAGGCCGGGGTTATTGGAATAAGCCAAAACAACTCAAGGAATCTGGCCAAAGACGGCACCCAATGATCAAGCCATGTACCCCGAAGAGAATGCTCGTGCAGGCAGCGTGCCACGAATGCGAGTGTAGGGGAAAGATAAGTGAAATCTAAAACAATGAAGGGAAACGAAGAAGGGAATTGCGCCGATCAGATTTGTGGCATACTTGTCACATAAGGTGATGCAGAGGAGGAGTTGATAGGTAGCGGGCCCGACTGAAACATGCTCAAAGGGAGGCCGATGAGAGGACTAGACTAGATAAGTATGAAGGTAGCCTATCCCAAAACAACCACCGATGATTGCAAGACCATTGGCGAGATGGTGATGCTGCAGGTCCAAGTTGTCACCGGCGGCGCTCCTAATTAACCGGCGATCCGGTAATTTACGAGTCTTGAGGGGGAAGGGGATGGCGGGCCAGCCCATCCCAAGTTCGATAGTTGGAGACCATCCTGGATAATCCTCTAGCGCGTCCGTCGAGCCAGCAAATCGCCGGGCTTATCGTCTAGCGTGAGCGACCACAGCGGTGTGGCCAACCGGTTCTTGATTGCTCCCGAGCTCCATTTGGATGGCCCAGTATTTTCACGTGTGGCCTGGACGGGGTCTAGAAGCCGGTGCTTCGATCGATGGTGGTTTGTGGCTGTGAATGCTGATGGCCTCTCAGACCAGAGAAAACCTGGGCTGCCACTGTCACACCACGGGTGAGGACGTAATGAAGCGCATTATTTATAGAATGGGATTGCGAACCGCGGGGACGATCAGGCGGTGGTGAATAATGTAGTGTTGCCCGTGCCGGGGAAAAGCAGAAATGCTATCCGCTCGGCTTAAGGATGGAGTCAGTCCAGCACAGCATGACGATCCCCGGCGGTGATTAACTCCACCGATAGACAGTGGTCAGTACAGAACAGTCAGGCCCTTTCCAGTGGATTGTTTCAGGAACCACGTAGGTGCCTTACTACTACCCACCTGGGTAGGGAAAAGAGGTACAACTGGCAGTAACCAGACATTTACACCGTAAGTCGCTGCAGCAGAAAAAAATGGTAGGGTAACAAGGTAATGAATTAGTAGCATGTTGTATTGTATGAGTAGATAGTATCAGGTCGAGGTCCCAGCGCGGTTGACTCGACCTGTCCACTGGCAGACAACTCTGGCAAAGGCCCGATAGAGAGCGGGTGAACCAGTGAGAGTAATGAATAGCGCGAGGGGTGCATAACCTGGAATCAGTGACTTGCATCATGGCGCCATTGGCGTAGTACCACTTTGGACTGGCTTTAGACGGTTATACGCGATATAGTTCAGCCCGGAGGAGGGGGTGTCCCTCCCTCCACGGATGAGATTGGACTGTTCTCTGAAACAAGAGGCGGACGATGCTTTGGATATGAATGGATGACAGTGCCAGCGGATCACCTCACTGACTCACGTTCTGACACCCTCCCAGATGGGCTGATTATAACCAGTTGAGTCTGGATGCTGGCAAAGAAAAGAAAAGAAAGGTTCTCGACTTCATTGATGGAGGAGGGGCAAGTCTGTTGCACCGCTTACCATACATACCACCATGCAAGTTTGTTTCAATACAGTACCCGAACTTACAGATGTGTTGTCTGTCCAGTTATACTGGCTCTATAATGCCTTGTAAACAATATGTGCGACAATATATCCCTTGAAGATTGGAGTAGAGTTTTGAGTACCTTTTGATTCCTGTATAAGCTTTATAATGATAAAATTTATATGTTGGGGATAAGGCATCTTCAAGGTGACGCCTTCCAGCAATGGTGTACAGTAATTTATAAAGAAGGGGGAACTTACAGGAATATGACCATACCACAGAAATAGATAACTGTAATGTCAATACCACCAGATCTTCACCATAATTTTCTTATTTCCTGTTTGGAACATTTTTCCCTCATATTTTCCCTCCTTCGTCTTTTTCGTTTCTTTTTCTTTTTTTGCTTATCACGCCGATTTCAACTATTTTTACCTTTTTCGATCTTCCTCACCCCTCACCTCCTGGTCTGCTTTTGCTCCCCTCCTTCTACTCCTCCCCCCCTATTTTTTAGTCTCTCTTATTTCTTTCTCTTCCTTCCTCTCCTTCTCTTTCACCATGTCTCAACCAACTTCTACTCCCCCCGTGCAACCTCCTCATGCCACCACCGCCGCCCAAGTCGCCGGACAGTCCTCCTCCTCTTCCGCCCGCACCGCCGAACTCGCCAGTCTTAAAGTAAAGCTGCGCGAGGCCCTGCGCCAGTTCCCCGACTTCCCGTCCCCGGGCATCTTGTTCGAAGATATCCTCCCGATCTTCGCTGATCCCGTTCTGCACGAATCCCTGCTCCGCTGCCTCGAGCTCCACATTCTCGAGAGCAACGGCGGCCAGAAGCCCGATGTCATCGTTGGTCTGGAGGCCCGTGGCTTCCTGATGGGACCTAGTCTGGCCCTGCGCATGGGTGCTGGCTTTGTCCCCGTTCGCAAGCAGGGCAAGCTCCCTGGTCCTTGCGACACCCAGGGCTACGAGAAGGAGTACGGCACGGACTTCTTCCAGATGCAGTCCGATGCGATCAAGCCCGGTCAGAAGGTGATCGTCGTGGACGACATCATTGCTACTGGTATGCTTACTATTTCCCCTTCTTTCTTAGTTCCACATATTATGTGCGAGCATAGTTGCTGATCAACTGAACTAGGTGGTTCGGCGTATGCGGCCGGTGAACTCATCAACCGCAAGGGTGGTGAGCTGATGGGCTTCGTTTTCCTCCTCGAGCTCGAGTTCCTTCACGGACGGGACAAGCTGCCTGCCCCCGTCTACACTCTTCTTACTGGCCAGGAGACCAAGGCTTAAATGACCCTATGACATGCATTCGAAAAACATTCTTACCTGTTCGGAGGACTGCACGCACAAAAAGAGAAAAAAACACATACACGCTCGCTCGCTACCACTCCTGGAAAGTGGTCGAACATGCCGCAGACACTGCGGCAGCAACCCCACGGGGTTTCGCAGAGATCGCTACGGAATCGATCGCATCGACTGGATGGTCGACATGGGACATGATAGAACAAGCAATTGAACTCCCACCCGCCGGGAACGGCACCGAAACGGACCTGACGTGTTCTCTCCACCAGGGCTATAAAAGTTAAAATACTTGATGTTTACTTTTTTTCTTACACGAGTCGATGTCAATCAGGCGTGGCATGGAACTTCAACATTTTTGCATAGACTATGAAATAGCAATGACACCATGAAATGTAATAATACGCTATGCTTATATTATAGAAGATCTAGCAAGACATCTATGTCTATTCTATATCAACCCAGCTAATTCAACGGAATAGCCGGCCTCATAACCTCCTCCGCCCACTTAGCAGGCAACCCAAGGGCCACCGATTCGCGAATCGCCCGATTCATCCTGGGAACATACTCCGCCTTAGGCGGGCCATTCCGCACCCTCACCTCATCCACATACACCAACACGGGCACCGTCTTAGCCTCATTCCCATCAACATTCATCCACTTAACCACCTCTGCCTCCACAACCCACTTGTTATAACTCCCATGACCCTGCTCCTTCTCCCTCACCATGCCGTCCACCGACCCTTCTTCAGCAGCATCCGGAGCTGAGTAATCGACGCCCTCATACCCATCGAGGATCCTTTCATCCTCCTCTCCCATATCATATAACACACCGTACACGGCATCCTCGTCAGCACCGCCAGCAACACCCACCTCGCCGGTCGAGATGCACTCGGCTTGCTGCTTCGAGACGCACATCTCAACGGGAGGCACGACGTTGGCGTAGCCACCCTCGTGGATCAGCCAGCGCCATTTGGGGAGGCGGGCGATGGCGAGCGGGATGGACGAGGAGGGGAGGGCGGTGCAACGGGAGGACATTTGCGTGGGGGAGAGATTGGAGCCGTATGCGAAGTAGAGGGGTTTAGCGGTACCACTGGTGAGGGTGGTTGTGGGGGGTGGGGATGGGGTTGTGGAGGTGAGTTCGGTAAGAGTTGTTGTGGTGGTTGTGGTAGGTTTGGTTGCTGAGGTGGCGGTGGTGATGTTGATGAGGGTGGAGGGGGTGGTGGTGGTGTCGACGTCGAGGTCTGTGTGGAGATGCATTTTGGTTGTGTAGATGTGTAGAGTAGTAGGATTTAAATGGTTGTGTTGTGATAGTAGGAAGAGATAGGACTGGTATATAGGTGTATACTCGAGAAAGAGTGAGGAGTACGTAAGAGAGAGTGATGACTGGAATATAGAGTAGTACTCGAACCAGCCCAGATAAATAAATAAAACCCAAATGGAAAAAGAACAAGTATGTCTTGCTTTTAAAAGCACCTAAAGACCACCTCTAAAGAAGAGAGAAAAGAACCCAAGTATTTATACCCATCCATCCATTGCGCCCCCTCCCTCTCCAAATCACTAAATCAGGGACACATTCCAAACCACGTAAACCTTAAACCTCCTCGCTTTCATTTTCGCCATCCCGCGCCGTTCGCCTTACATTATACTTTTTCTTTCGGTTCTAAATCGGCAGGGACGGTTTCTCTTCAATGGATCGATTTTCTCCACGGGGTTTTACCGTTTCGACCAATCGGCAAGTGACTCTGCCCCACCGCCACTACTACATAACTTACTTTCTTCAGCGGTCAGTCAGTCTTGAGGCTGAGCAAAGCTGAGTCATCTGCGCCACTAGGTTAGGTTACCCCCCGTGGCAGCCACAACTACCTAACAACCAATAACTTTCCGTAACCATTAATTTTAATGGCGACATTTGACGTGACGGGCGGATCTTCGGTTGTGGAGGTTGGAGGGGGGGACACCCGAACGATTGCCGATCATTATTTTGTTCGTTTCGGAGGTTTCCGTCTGGAGGTGGCGAGGCTGAAATGGAGATCATCGTTCAATGGTATGTGTGTATGTCATGGCTTATATGGCTTTGGTATGTTAATGTGCGAGGTGGAGGCGGGGAGGAATGACGTGTGCTGGGAATGCTACCATGTTATGTTGTATTATTAGTATACTAGGATGAGAAAGCTATGCTATGATGCTATCTTAGGTAGGTAGGTAGGTAGGTAGGATAGGTACTCGTTGCAATGGCCATGTACCAGGGTAGTACATATGTCGTCTCACAATATATACAAATTATTGATGGGAACACCCTGAGATCGTACTGAATATCGCCGTTTGATTCCCATTCCCGTCGCCTGTCGCAGTAGCTCGTATGTCTCTTGCCCTCCGCCTACCATGACCACGCTGAGCAGCTGGCGCCGCGGGACGCCCGCGGCTGTCATTTGCGTCTCGTCCAGATGGGGCCGCACCAGATAGGGTTCCGCGCGGACCGCAGCTAACCCGGGGGTTGTGGTGGTGTCTGATCCGTCGTGCTGCTCCTCGACTTCGTCATCGTAGGAGACCACGATGACGAGTTTCAGGGCGTACCGGGAGGGCGGATACGCGGCGATGTTGCGCAGCTTCTCTGAGAAGCTGCATCCGCCGCGCTTGATCACGAGCACCTGGTGGTTCTGTGCAACTTCTCGGAGGATGCGGTCGTCGCAGAGATCGTCCGCGAAGTAGATGCTGTTCCAGGTGAGGCGTTGCTTGGAAGGGTCGCCTGTGATGGAGACGGTTGTGGCGTCCTCCACGTCGGGGAGTGGGGCGGAGCCGAGTCCCGTGGAGATGGCGGCCGGGAGCAGGAGACGTAACGAGGTTGGTTTCTTCTTCTGCGGCAGGCTGGTCTGGCCTTGCACTTCATCCCGGAGGAGAGTGGATAGGGTGTTGACCAGCGAGGAGAGGACGGTCTTCATGCTGGAGGTCGTTTCATCTACGCTGCCGACTTTGCTGTCGACGGCGCTGGAGCCGTGGACGATGGCTCCGTTGGCACGTCGAGGTGCAGCTGGTTTATGACTATCATCTGAATCATTTCGTCGACGGATAGACTCTGGGATAACGTCAATGACGATGTCAACCATGGCGGTGTCGCGAACCCGCGTGAAGTTCGGGTCGGTGGGGTCGAGGACATCAAATGTGATTTCCCGTAGAAGATATACCTTCTCGTCTTTGCCCAGCGGCACGTTGTTGATCACCTGGACTCGGAACTCGTCCCCTTCTGCGCCGCCGCTTTCTCCTAGCACGGGGACATCCTGGACCATACTCAGCCGTAGGCCTCCGATGGCTTTGATGAAGACGCCATCGCGCACTCGTTCCAGTGATCCGGGCCCCACGACCATACCGGGAAGCGCGGGGAAAGAGATATCAAGCGTAGGGCGAATTGTCATCGGTGCGCTGGTCGCGTTGAACGGGACCAGCTCTGGAGGCAACGTCCATGGGAAGAATGTGTAATTGGTGGGCGACGACAAGTCCGACACTGATACGCTCGGGTGATCCCGAGCATAATCCAGAAGAGGACCTTCCGCTACGCCTCTACTCGGCATAAGATGTAGACGTGCCAGGTTCGCGGCGTGGAACAGGTCGGACCGAGCCGCAGTAGACGAGACTCCCAGTGTTGGAGGCTCAGGTGCTGTTGGGCAAGTCAAACCCTCGCTTTCCACATCGACCGGTACCTGCTTGCGCTCAGCGCGCTGTGCCGTGCTGTTTTTGGGTATAATAAGAGGGTGGCCCTCGGTGGAAAAGACGAACGGCTGATCTAGCTTGTTGAGGGGATGGTCAAAATCGTACAGCAAAAACATGTACTTGGCAGTTTCACCCAGGAAGAAGCTTTCCATGCGGTCATTGAGCTCGCCATTGCGGACGTCCTGAATACCGGCCCAACCGCACTTGGTCCAGCATCGCCGTTTCAAATCCCGCAGTACCATCTCACCGACATGCAGGTACCAGGGGTCCTTTGTCGCTCGGTAGAGGTAGTAAGTAGATTCGACGAATTCAGGGCGGCCACCGTACCAGGAAAGGCCCTGCTCAATGTCACCGGTGGCGACATTCCATCGTTCAGGCAGTCCGGAAAACCGAGTCCAGACTGCCGTCGTCAGAAGATGGATGCCGATAGCTTCGTCCACCTCTCCTGCCAGAGTAAGAAGTCCGGGGTAGAAGGCACTGAGACTGTCGATCCAAAAAGCACGAGTCGCTCCGGTGAAGATGTCTCCCTGTATCAAATGCGGATGCTGATGGCCCTCACCGCGGTATAGGTGACGTTTGATCGAGGCATGAGACTCCTCCCAGACCTTCAGAAAGGCATCTGCCGAGTGCTCATATTCCGATAGTGGCAAGAAATAGTCGTCCAGAACATGCCATGGGCTGCTGGTATTGACCGGGGGTCGTTCCCCTGACGAGAGGAGCACGTAGGACTTGAAAGCATACTCGAAGAAGCTATCAATTCCTGCGCCAATCTGAGACATCGTATTGTTAGCCACGTCTAAATGCACTTGCTTGAAAACTCACCCCAGTGTAGGAATGAACCCATCTGCCAGACTCGGCATCAATACCAGACCCTATCAGTCCAATATCACTCCTCCTTGCCCAAACGGCCCAGAATGCCCGCTTGGCAAGCTCCTCATACCGGCCATCGCCTGTAAGCCTGCTCAAGACCGTAAACTCTAGGACCAGACTGCCAGCGCCAGCGCTGCAAGTTTCCGTGGTCTCAAAGGTCGAGGAGCGGCGAGACTTTTGGCACTGTTCAGGATTGGCTTTGTCACACGTAGGGGCTGCATTGAACGGCGAGTTTGCGTAGTACGGCTGCCGTTGCACTCCGTATTTCAGGTTCACTCGAGGGTAAGGGAGACCAGTGTCCGTATAAAACGCGGGCAGGATTCGATTCGCAAGATCGACAGCAAGTCGTAGAAGTTGGCCATCGTAGACAAACCCGTCCTCCCACTCGATACCGTGACTACCTTCAGGGAAGGAATGCTTATCCCAGGCTCTGGCGAAGTTGGCTTCGGCCTCCGGCGGATTGTATCCGCTGATAGGAAGATCGCCCACAGCAAAAAGATGGGCACTGAGTAGACCGCCTAGGGAGAACCATTAATCGATGCATACTCCTCCATCCACAATATCCGATGCCTACCTAATCCTCGAATCACCGTCTCGAACACCTGCACTTTGCTATCCATATCGAACCCTCGACCCCTCTGGCCCTGGCCTGCGGGGCCATTGGATCCATCACCGTACAGTGTAACAAAATCCTTCACTCCGTTTTGAAAGTAATCCCACGCCTTCTGGCCCTGGTCGGGACTCGAGGAAAGTATGGCCAGGGAGGACAGGCTGTCGATCAGAGTCAAGGAATAGTTTCCCAGGACATCGTTGAGCTCTGCATGCGCGGGATTATCTCGGTCGCGAACCAGCGGTCGGCATGTTAGAGGGCGTAGTTCGTCTTCAGGAAAGGCGTGCTCGAGATAGTTGTCGAACCCGTGGTAGAACATATGCTCTGTCTCCTTCCTAGATATCGAAAGGTGTCAGTCGATCGGCCTTACACCAGGGAGACTAGAAATCTTAGTTATGAGTGGTGAGAATTACCTGAGCTCCTTAACCTGATCGGTCCGCATGCCCTGGGCCATGGCGAGCCACAGCGACAGCTGTAAGACCCAGGTCAAGATCCATGCTGAACGGAGGGCGGACATCTGCGAGTGCCAACATCCCGAGCGCATTACCGCAGTAGCGAAACAGTTATCAATGGCATGGGAGCGCGTTGATGAACCGTTGAATGTGGAATCCCCGCAGACCGGCGAACTGAATTGCCTCCAGAGAAAGGGTTCCTGGAGGGAAGAGGCTTGAGGGGAAGTTGGTGGTGGCAGCGGCGCCGCACGTGAGGTCGTATTCAATCCGCGGCGAACCAATTTGCGGCCAGATATCCCGTTCACATTCTCTCCACTTCCCCCCTTCCCTTCGGACTACAGGATCCCTTAATTCCACTATAGGGGATGTCTATATTATTAATACATAGTTTTTGATGAATCAGCTTGCTTACGGTGGGCCTCGTTCCCGGATAATTTCACATTTAGACGGTTAAGATGTACTTCGCAGTAGAAAACCAAGCTTAATGAAATAGCGCTCAAACAATGCTGGCCGGATAGATCAGTGTGTAGATGCCAATATAACTCCCGCTTCATCCAAAATAATCAAGTGTAAAAGTAAACGAAGAAACAGCATATGGTTGGTGATGAGAAAAGTCGCCAAAAAAAAAAAAAGAAAGGAAGGAAGTAAAGTCACAGGGGATATCTCGAGTAATGGAAATACAGATGAAGGTGATCACAGTGCCGCTATATAAATGATTTTGCGGATAACGAGACGAATTTGGATGTCATTGTGTCGGTGAATCCAGCTTCAGTATGTCGAGAAAAGAGAGAGAGGGATATGTACGGGTCACGGTTGATGCCCTGATTCTTCAGGAATGCGCCATTGCGTGAATGATCGGGGTTGCGCTTCTATCACATAGTCGACGCCGTTGTCTGAGGTGTAGCTAGGCGGCCGTGGGATCCGCGATTTGTTGCTCCCATGCCTGCCGACGC